GCGTAAAATCGCCACTCGGGAAAAAAATCCCTCCAACCGGGCCTTAATAGAAAAAACAGAAATTCATAAGCAGAATTTGCTGAATAAGCTAAAATTCTATTCATTTATCACCGATTAGTTTTAACATTTCTGCATGCGATTACCAATGGTTGGATGATACATCAACCGGTAATCTGAAAAATCACAAAATAGAAAAAAAAGAATTAGCCAACTCATTTCTGGGACCAGTTCTATATTGTGAAATGCAGTCTAAAAATCATTCGATCTAAATTGCTATACATAATTTTGTTTGTTCTAGTGCTCTGAATATGATGTACAATTTGGGCTTAATTTGATCATCGGAGTAAACAAATTTTTTTTTAGGTTTATACAAATTTTCATCATATTTGATGGTCTTATATGGATCAATAGATATTATTCGCGGAAACTAAGCCTTTTGTCGGTTGTAGAACTTTTCAAACTCACTATAGTGTATCTTTTCAAGTCTCCACGCCTGGATGGGTATTTAGTCAATAATTAGACTATTCAAGTTCTGAAATTGTTCATTTGAAATGTGAAATCTTCGTGGCTTATGCATTCACCCTCAGAAAGACCAATTTTTATGGATAATAAAATCGCCAACATAGAAGGGCGCTTGATGCTTTCCCCGTTATCGCCCGACAGCAAAATCCATTAACAAATGCAAAGATATATTGATCGAGCCTCAAATTTGAATCTTTCTTAATTATAATAATTATATAATTGCTCGGATATAGGGTAACTCAAACCTTTTCATCACGTCCTAGCTGACTAAATGCATTAGTTAGATGCGACATTCGATATCAGTTCAGTCACTCTCAATTGAGTGACTCCTGCCATGCATCGATACTACATTGAGAGCAAAACAAACGAATTCGTAAATAAGTAATGTTTGAACCAGCAAAATCGCTGGTTGAACATGGCCAAAAGACAAATTATTTGATTCGAATTTGAAAGCCTGAAACATGAATAATTGCTCAGCTTTCGATAACAGTAAAATATTTGGCTCAAGAGATGGATAATTCAAACGAGACGGTGACTTTTCAGGATACAAATATCTCATACACAGGAAAATTTATCAAGAAATATTTACTCCCTAAGTTACATGATTGCTATCACATCATTATAATTATTTCATTTAAGGATTAATTTCTTCTGTGATTATTGAACAGCCGCAATGAAAAATCACTATCCCTGTTTGATATTAAACGACCATTTTTCGGGAGCGAAATACATATGGGAGTATCGAATAATGAAGTAGTAGTGCTAGAAATTACATTTTTCGTTTGCACAAAAAATATAATTTTTTTTGTAACTACCAAATCTATTTTTGCGTCTAAACTTTTCCATCGCGGCGCACTCTGCATGTTCGGCATATAAAAATGCTTTTATGATCATTTATAAAAAACAATTTTTTTGGCATAACTGACTTGTTTGAAAACTGTCATTTTTCTCTTAGTGTACTCAGTACCGATTAGCCTGTTTTCATTTTGCGAAAATTAGTTTCCGATTTTCTGTCAATCCATTTATTATGAATCATTGTTCTCCCAAAAAAAAAAAACGTTTCTTGTCTCGATAAAATTATCAATCATGTTCTTAAGAATAAAATCGTTCTTCCATCAATGAATGAGAAATTCTCATTCGCTGATATTTATATGGAATTTCTTTTCAATTTTACAGATGATGCTAGACTAGAAAAATTTCTATTCGGCTGTAAAAATAGTATCGAGCGTTGCAAATTGATCCTAGAGCGTTACTTCAGTGCTAGATCAGCTCTACCCGAATTCTTTGCCAGTCGTGATCCTCTCGGTCTTGACATCCAGGATTGCTGCGACGCTGTGTAAGTATCCGCTTATCTATCCACCGGAAATCCGGTTTCATCTACTGCAAACAGATGAATAAAAAAAATGGTTTGAAGACCTGACAAAAAGAGAACAATTACTCACATCATCTGATAGTGACCATGAATTTACGCCTCATTAGTGTAAAAATGTGATTTTGATTGCTCATGTATTTTTCTGGTTTTATCTGTAATTAGGCAATACTTTGTTTTACCATCGTTAACTGACGAAGGCCATCGTGTGACTGTTTTACGATTAAAAGACAGATCGATCGATAGATTCTCCATCCAAGTGATCACGCGTCGTATTCTAATGGTAATGGATTCACGTTTAGTCGAGGAGTCATGCCTCTCCAACGTTATGATCTTGGATCTCCAGGTAAACATATTCATACAAACAATAAAAATTGATTCATCAATCCACTCTTTAATCACTCTTTGCTAATATTCTCAATAGCAATGTTGCACAAAGTGGGTTCCATCCTGGAAATAAATTTGATTCAGATAAGTTTATATTGAGAGCTCAGAGATTAATTGAAAGCCCATTAAAGTGAATTCCTATGTTTATGTGTGTAATTTTATCATTAATTTTTTTCTTGTCATTCTTATGATATAGGGATGGACTGCTGCTCATTTTGCAAAGTGTTGCCCGACACAATCGCTTGTAAGAAAGGCAATGCTTGCGGCGCAAGATAGCATGCCACTCAGATTACACAGAGTTTATTATCTTCATGCACCCGCGTTCATTGGGAATGTCCTGAATATTTTTTATCCACTGCTTAAGGAAAAACTCATACAAAAGGTAAAGAGATTACCCTAGACCATTTGTACTGTTGGGCGACTGTCGTGAATTGAAAGTCGAATGTTCATGGGAGCAATGGTTAGTTTATAAATTTATCACATATGACAGAATTTCTCCATAAGGATGAAGGGCAGTTCTGATTATTTCGTCTCCAATTTCTGGGCACTCATTCATTCGCTCAGTGACCATACTCATTCTACTGAATTAAAGAAATGAAATATTGATATTATGCGAATACAACTGGTTATAGGATATGGATCATTCCATCAATAATATTTTTGCTTCCGAATGGAAGCATTGTCATCATTCTATTTTCAGATTTTCTACTTTTGCTTGGAAATTATGTAGAATAGTCTGGAACGTAAAACTACGAAGTTTGACCACCTAGTGTGTATGTTTGGATGTCCACCTGGTGGTCAACTTTTAGAAAATTGATGAATTAAAGGACTCAAGTGATTCCAAAAAATCTGAAATTTTGCCAGATTCTAGATATTAACGACACATAACTCTGTGCTTTTTGTTTCTAAACAAATAGAAATTGCCATTTGTTTCTAAATCGTTTTTCGCAAATATCTTTAAAACGGCCAACCGATTTCAATTTTTTTTCAATATATTCTTCTCGATGTCTTCTATCTTAATCAATCAAAATATGCATAATCGTTTATTCAAGGTTTTGGAGATATTTCCATTTTTTGGTTTTTCGCTCCAAATCCTTGATAGCACTCTCATTTTTGCAAAAATTGACATATCAACTGGAAATTTGGCATAAAGTTTCTGCTTTGCACAAGAATGCTTCGTATTGAAAATGGGCTAAATTGGACAGTTAGTTTAGGAGATATTCAAGTTTGTATCCCAATCAATTTTCCTAAATATGGGACATTCCATGTCAACCCAGCCACCCTGGATTTTTTTGGTTCTCAGAATCCTGAATTAGCATGCTCCCAGTCAAGTACTACATGACTACATACTTTCTCTAAATTTTCGCTCCTTTCACATTAATTGTTTGGCCAGGATAAATAACAAAAGCTCAAATTTTTGAAAAATCATATCTTGCGAACATATTGGCTGATTTTAATAAATAAAAAAACATTGGACAATGGATACAAAAAATGGGAGTGCAATGAAATCAAAGGTTCCGAGTGGGGATGAGAATAGACAACCGATTTCTCGGAATTCAGTTTCCATACGAGCCATAGAGTTGCCTCAATAATAACTGTTTGATTACTCCTTATCACACACTTGAGTGTTGAACATCTCACACGGTTCATTACAGTATCGTTAACAGAAATTCTCCGACGGTTATTCTCATGTATTTATTCTCCATCAACTTTATTCAAGGTAAGTGATGGGATAAAATATTTCAGTAGTGAAGTTGTAAACTCAATCGATCGTTATTGTCATTTTTTCCCCTTTTTTTGAATGATCAGAACTGTTCTTCATTCCTATTCCACAAGATGCCGCATGCCGAAAGATGTGCAAATCCAATGCGAGTTCCTGGGGAGAAAGGTCACAATGGAAAAGACCTGTGTTCAATCTCAGAAAGACTAGGACAGACATTTCCATTCTTGCCAGAAAATGCAAAACTATGTAGCTCCTGTAAGAAAAGAGCTTTGATTTACATTCCTGGATCACTACCCTCTGAATCTTCATCGAATCGGGAAGTCTCTTCATCGTCATCAAATGTTCCAGCCGATCGTTCGTCCAGTGCCACACCATTTCTAGTAGACATTTCTACGAGCAATATCGCAGGGAGTCCTTTGAGATCAAATAATTCCTTCCATTCAATTGATCCTGATGGGGATGTGATTTTCAACGAAGCTTCAGAGGAGTACGATGCTCCAACAGCAGATGATTCAGAGACAGAGCCCCACAGAAACATTCTAGCAAATTTTCGTTCTCCACGAGAATTGGAATTGGAAGAAATGTTGGATGAACTCAAGCAAAAATTCAATACGATGACAGAATATTCTGAACGTATTCAAATCTTGGCTATTGCTCCACCTTCATGGAGTGAGTTAAAGGTGAGCCGTGAATTTGGTACGACAAGGTACTTGGCTATGAGAGCAAAACAACTGCGAGAATCGAGAGGAATATTCGCTTCAACAGTTGCGAAGGCTGGGAAATCATTGCCCAAAGAGACAGTTGAAAAGGTCTGGAGTTTTTATGAGAGTAATAGTCGGATGATGCTAGGGATGAAGGACAAAGTGTCAGTCAGAATCAACGACGTGAAGAAAATAATGCAGAAGCGGATGGTCCTCGAGAACTTGAATGATCTTCATGAGAAATATAAAATTGCACATCTCCGGTGGGATTCAGCAAGTTTGCGGAATTTGTGATGAATGCAATTTTTCGTCAGAAGGCCCGTAAACTGCGATCAAACCGAGCGAAGCGAGGTTATAATCGCGGTTTACCGGGTCTTCTCACGAAAAGAATAATTTCAANTGTTTGATTACTCCTTATCACACACTTGAGTGTTGAACATCTCACACGGTTCATTACAGTATCGTTAACAGAAATTCTCCGACGGTTATTCTCATGTATTTATTCTCCATCAACTTTATTCAAGGTAAGTGATGGGATAAAATATTTCAGTAGTGAAGTTGTAAACTCAATCGATCGTTATTGTCATTTTTTCCCCTTTTTTTGAATGATCAGAACTGTTCTTCATTCCTATTCCACAAGATGCCGCATGCCGAAAGATGTGCAAATCCAATGCGAGTTCCTGGGGAGAAAGGTCACAATGGAAAAGACCTGTGTTCAATCTCAGAAAGACTAGGACAGACATTTCCATTCTTGCCAGAAAATGCAAAACTATGTAGCTCCTGTAAGAAAAGAGCTTTGATTTACATTCCTGGATCACTACCCTCTGAATCTTCATCGAATCGGGAAGTCTCTTCATCGTCATCAAATGTTCCAGCCGATCGTTCGTCCAGTGCCACACCATTTCTAGTAGACATTTCTACGAGCAATATCGCAGGGAGTTCTTTGAGATCAGGTAATTCCTTCCATTCAATTGATCCTGATGGGGATGTGATTTTCAACGAAGCTTCAGAGGAGTACGATGCTCCAACAGCAGATGATTCAGAGACAGAGCCCCACAGAAACATTCTAGCAAATTTTCGTTCTCCACGAGAATTGGAATTGGAAGAAATGTTGGATGAACTCAAGCAAAAATTCAATACGATGACAGAATATTCTGAACGTATTCAAATCTTGGCTATTGCTCCACCTTCATGGAGTGAGTTAAAGGTGAGCCGTGAATTTGGTACGACAAGGTACTTGGCTATGAGAGCAAAACAACTGCGAGAATCGAGAGGAATATTCGCTTCAACAGTTGCGAAGGCTGGGAAATCATTGCCCAAAGAGACAGTTGAAAAGGTCTGGAGTTTTTATGAGAGTAATAGTCGGATGATGCTAGGGATGAAGGACAAAGTGTCAGTCAGAATCAACGACGTGAAGAAAATAATGCAGAAGCGGATGGTCCTCGAGAACTTGAATGATCTTCATGAGAAATATAAAATTGCACATCTCCGGTGGGATTCAGCAAGTTTGCGGAATTTGTGATGAATGCAATTTTTCGTCAGAAGGCCCGTAAACTGCGATCAAACCGAGCGAAGCGAGGTTATAATCGCGGTTTACCGGGTCTTCTCACGAAAAGAATAATTTCAAGGATCTCGATGTGTTTTTCTACACTAAACAGGAACACGAAGATATGAAAGAACGGTTGAAAACAAGATTTGACAGTGCAAAGGCGATTCCAGCGATACAAAAAAATCACGGCTTCATTCCTGTGGGAGAAAAGGAATTATTGATTAAGAGATATTCTTCTGCGACTACGGGAGAAGTTTTTCCAAAGGCGAAGAAACGAAATGGACGACGTACATTAAGATAGCTATTGTGATTCAGAAAAGTTCGATTTCAAATTGCTTTTTCTCTATAATTTAATGTTTATTTTTCAAATTACAAACTCAAAACAGACATATACTCCATGTTGATCGAAAAACTCATCAAATATTTGGTACTTTGCGAATTCTCATTGTCGTTTACGTAAGTAGAGCTGTTAATAATCAATAAATTCAACTTTTTTCTATAAAAAACGTTTTTTATCCATCACTACTTATGCATCTCATCTTCAAATTATGCCGAAAAATTGCACGCTCATCCTTTCATGAGGCATTCATCATTTTTTAAGAACAAAATTCGGAAAATCTAATTTTTCATGAGAAAAAAAATTTTCTCTCATCTCCATATGGCTATCCCATTTTGAAATACCCCGAAAAAGTTGAGTAATATCATTATCCATCGAAGAAGAAAAAAATTATTCGATTTTCGAATGGCCCCTGCATAACAGAAGGATTTAAATGACAAAAAACTTAAAAAATGACTCATTATTCTTCCTCGTGGTACTGTCGTATTTTTATCCCAAAAGTATATGAAAAAACGAAAAAAATCTTTTTTTAGTCATCAAAATCGGCCAATTTGTTCACAAGTAATGATTTTTCAAAAATTAGAGCTTTTGTTATTTGTCCTGGCCAAACAATTAATGTTAAAGGAGCGAAAATTTAGAGAAAGTATGTACTTATATAGTACTTGACTGGGAGCATGCTAATTCAAGATTCGGAGAACCAAAAAATTCCAGGGTGGCTGAGCTGACATGGAATGTCCCATATCTCAAAAACTACTTAACCGATTTCAATATTATTTTTTCAAAATATTCATCTCAGTGTCTTCGATCTCAATCAATTAAAATATGTATACCCTTTCATAACGGTAAAACAATAATCTTTTGCGGTAAATCCGAAAAAAATTCTTGAAGCATAGCAAAAGTTTCAGTGCTCAGACCTAAAATTTTCTGGTTCCGTCAAAATGAACCTATTTTGCCATGCTAACACAAAGATTTTTCTGGTATTTCTTTCGCTGTGCATACCCGTTGTACGTAGAGAAAAATACTTGCAATGTCGAAACTCTTAGGATGAAGTTGAAAAATTCGGATAAAAAAGTGAACAAAAAATTAAATTACAAAAAAGTCAACGACCATCATGAAAAAACAACTAAAAATTGCAATAAAGACTAATTATGAACAAATAAAAATTTGAGAGTCATTTCGGAACAGTATATTTCGGGGCGAGTGCCATGGGATTTTTTACTCGCCTATAGTTGGCGTCCGTGCGCCC